TAAATAAAATTTTGCAAAAAAATTTGTAGGAACAATATTTCCTGCAAATTTTTATAAAAAATTCGCAAGAAAAATCACATGTAATAAAAAATTTATAATAATGTTAATTCATAATTAAAATCAATGATTTGGTAGCTCAATTTAAAAATATTGGTTTTAAATTTGTTTTTTTAATGTAGTTTAATTTAATTTATAGTTAATAATAATTTTATTTAATTAATATTATAGTTTAGTTCAAACTCTTATAACTAGATAATAATTTAATTTAATTTAATTAATAATCAATTTAATTTAATAAACTATTTATTATAATTTAGTTTAATTTTCTTCTAACTTTATTCTATTTAACACCCCTACCTGAGACACATAGCATGAACTTGAAGTAATGAGAACCTTGACCCTGTTTCCTGTGTCTCTGCGTCACGCCATTGCTCCTAAAATACCTCACTCCCATGCCGTGTGAGCCCCACAAGAAACAACTGTCCTTCATTGATGCCGGTGATTTGATAGTTATTTTCATAATTCATAATATGATTACATAAATTTTGTGCGTACATGTTATAGATATTCTTGAGTAAGTTATTATGGTATAACACCGATATTCCCTCTAGTAAAGAAATAAAGATGGTGGCAGCTGAGAAAATCTACGATGGTGTCTGACAATGATTTTTATTCGATCTCTCGCATTGATTTAATGATGTTTACCCACAACCTTAATTTATACCCAATAAAAATAAAAGGCCATTTATCTGCATAGACATATAACTGGATGTGAAAAGTGGCAATAAACATGAATGTGTAATACTTGAACAAATATGTAATATGATTGATAGCTGCAGTGAGAGTTGGTGGACCTACATATGAAATTGACACATTTGTCATGGCTACGGCTAACAAAGAGAGGGTATGGGGGAAGGGAAGAAATAAGTCTAAAAGAAAAGACTGGTGCATCTTTTCATGTGACAGGAGATCAACAAATTATTCATCAGATCAGTCCCTTTGAAGGTCCTGACCAAATTTTCATTAGCAATGGTCAAGGTTTGCCTATCCACTCCTCTGGTTCTTCAAGAGTATTTGTAAAAAAAAATTAACTTATTAAATTTAGTTTTTATTTATTGTAATTATTTATAAATTAAATATTAATATTTTAAAATTAATTATCATTAAATAAAACTAACTTCTTTTGTTACAATACAAATTATTAATAAACATGCATTTGCATTACACAAGTTAAAAGAAACTCGATGTTGTATATGAAGTCATTCAAAAATTTATTGAATTTTTTATATTTAAATCGCCCAAAATATCAATATCCTGCATACTGAACAACCATGGAAAAATTATGCTATGGAGGGATTCAAGGGTGGTGTGTATAAGATTATCATGTTGCTAGAAAAGAATACACAAGAGCTTATATAATTTTATTTTATGATATTTTCTTATTATTTTTTATACTTTATTGTATCATTCTTCTTAAAAAATAATTTCTCATGTATTATTTTATGAATCTAATCAACTTATCTTCTTTACTTTTTGTGATTTGATATAGCTCAATTCAATACTATAACACGTTCTTAGTAATTTATGCTATATTTACCCACAATTTTTTTTCTTTTGGTAATCAAAAGGTAAAGAATATTTTCTCACAAAACTACCATTTTTTTTTTCGTTACAAGCAAAATGATGAGATCCTGATTCAATCTTGAGAGGGGTATACCGCTTACGAATCTAAATATCGAGCCTGATTGCAGTACATTGGTAGCCCAATAAGGGATGAGATCATACAAGTGAGCCAAAGCCCACTTACCTAACATCAAATAACATCTTCCCCCTTATTTGTTTCAGGGAAAATGAGGTAGAAGAAAATTAAATAAAAATATTAAATTTTCCTCATTTTTGAGAGGAGCAACGGACCCATCAAAAAAAATTATTTTACAAACTGGAATGAAATGGGAAGAAAATACATTCTACTTTTTTAACATTTTTAAAAATAAAATAATTAAAAAATAATAATAATTAATCTTATAAAAAAAAATATTTTAGTCCTTATTGTTTTATTTTAGTCCTTGAAATATTTTCTTTCTGTTTTAGTCGCTGCATAATTCTATTTCTTTTTGAGTTGATCCTTTTGAAAAAATAAAGTTAGAGACTAAAACATATCTGCATATTACAACAAATGAAGCGAAAAATAAGTATATTAGAAGAATTAAAACAAAATAACAAGGTCTAAAATAAAATGAGAAAATTTTATAAGGACTATTTAAAAAAAATAGGGAACAAAGTAAAAATATATATATACTATAAGAATTAAGAATATATTTAAGTCAAAAAAAATATTTAAAATTTTCAAATAATTAAAGAACCTATCTAGTAATTAAAGAATATTATATAAATACTTGCGTATTAATGATACTTTGTACCTATCTTTATTTTTTAAAAAATAAAATAAAATAAAGTGAATGATTAATAATAAGATATAAATAATTTTTGGATAGTGATAATTATAAGGAAGTTTTTCAAAAAATAGTAGAAAAATAAAAAGCATTTAAAAAATTAGAAACAAAATTGTAAAAAAAAATGTGAATAATAAATAAGACAGTTCTTTATTAATATGATTGATGTAAATATTAGTATGTGATTGTTTTATACAAAAATATCCTTGAAAAACAAAGACACGTAACTAACAAAATTGTCGTGCGTAATATAATAAATAGCCGATAAGACAGTGATTTGATATGCCCAGGCCCCTGGGGACCTTTCGGTGACACTTTGATTTATAATGAGATGCCAAACAAATGATTCACATTAACTCTCATTATATACAGAAGCAAAAATGTACTTTCCGATTTTCATGATTATATATTTATATCTATACCAGAACCCCACTTGATGAAGAAACTGATCACTCGCCAGTACTATGGCCATTGCCATCTCATGCACCAGAGCCACACATGCATGGGGCTCATCTGGCTAGATTAAACACATTTACACTTCTTTCATGCACTTTGGTTCTATCCAATAAGAGATGTATGTTTAATCTCTCTTGGTTGCAAATTGCAATAGCCCAAAAATAATACAAAATTGGGTCTGCATCACTACAAATTAAATCTCTTCTATCTGATTTGGGGGAAGTCATCAGAGAAATTATATTTTAATTTATCTGTATTCAAGTAACCAACAATTTTAACCTCAGGATGATGATACATTAATTATATTTTCATATCTTTCAAAAAAATTATTCCCCTATCATTGTAGATTGTACCAAGCCTTAACAGAAACACCTAATGAGTTTCTGTTAACTCTGACTGCAATTCTTCTCTCTCTGTTTTTTTATAGGGTCAAGTTTAGGGGAGTAGCCTGCTTATGAATCATTCTAGTTGCAAAGTTTATTGTGTGTCGTTTGGCTAAGCAACATGGGGTGAGGGATTTCCTAAGATGTGGGATTATTTTGTCACTGTGGGCCACACAGTTATGACTATGAGCCGCCATGCCCATGGCCTAATATCCAATTTAATTTACCCACTCATTCAAATATTAAGCATGTCATTGCCAACTTCTTGTGTAATTTAACCAAAGTACAAAGTGCAATGCAATGGATGGGAGGCTGAGAATAAAAGCACAGCATAGGATGCTTGGTTGCACTGACGGGTCTAAGTCTAGCAGAGTTGGGCCCAGGGCCCACTCCTGCCACATCCAACCATTTCCTGTGTGACCCACTCTTCCACAATCTAAGGCCCATAAAAAACTTACTCATAATCAGTTGTACATTAATTAAAAGATGGCAGGTTACAGTCGCACACAGCTACCGTCATGCGTGTGATGTGAGGAAAGCATCACCAAAAGCCGGACCTAATTGGGTAAAGTAAAACTTCCAGTCTTGTACCGGGCCTGGGCCCGAGGCCCGTGAGTGTTGATTGTGAAATATTATTATAGTATATAATTGGGGGCTGATAATGCTCCTTGGTTTTGAATCCAGAATACGACAGCTCCAGGGCTGTGGGTCCCACACGGAGCGGAAACGTAATTGTGGACCGCTGAATGTGCCTGGGTCTCTCACTCTGGATTTTGATTTTTGAAGATGCTATTTGTAAATCCATTGCCATTCATTTCACGTCACACTGAAGTGGGATTAGTTTAGGTTTAGTTCTAATCTAATGATGACCGCAACCTTCAGAAACCAACAATTATGCATTGTGTTGTGTTGGTTCAATTCGATCGGTGTCCTTATCAGCATTATCTTCAATTCCCACATCTGTAACTATAACTATTACTAGAACCTTATTTTCACAAAAAATTACAACCTGTCATTGTGTTCCCACGTGGAGCGGATAGAGACAGCATCCACGGGCTCTGTTGTTCCAGAATCTTACACGTGGTGGGTAGTAAGAGGTTGCACAAGAAGATAGTTAACATTTCAGTACCCACGTGGAGGTTGGGATCTTCCTTGGATGCATTTGACGTAGTCAAAACCCTATTCTCTTTACGTGGACATGCATTTATCCCTTCTCTCTGCTATTTCTTAATCCTTTACATTTTTTATTTTTTATTTCCCCAATGATTTTATTATATATAATATAATACTATATGCACAGCTGGTCACTATCCTTTATGGTTATTTTATAGTAACTACATAAATTATCTATAAATGTACTCTCTTTTTTTTTTAATCATCGCACTGAAATATATTATCACTACAGGTAAATTCCATTATAAATTTACATGTAAACCATTAAATATATTATCACGCTTTATATATGTACTTATTTTTTCAACTCCTACTTATTCATTTCACTACTTAGGGAAACAAATGTGCTATTATCAATTTGTGATTCTTAACTTCAGTTGTATTTTTTTAAAATGCTTAATTATTGATATAATTTTTTTAAAATGTTTATTGATATAATTTTTGTAATACTGTAAGTTTTTGTTAAGTATTATCTTTTAACAATATTTATATGTTGTGGTGTACTAAGATGTGGTGTTGTGAGAGATTTTGAGAGTTGAAAAACCCCTGAGGAGTTTATAGGTGTTTTGGATAATTTTTCTGGACAGATGTTTAGTTTGATCCTAAGAGAAAAATATATATAAGATTTCTTTTCAGAATTGAGTTTTATAAGTTCCGTTCTTAAGAATCTTAGAGAGATAAGTTAGAGAAAAACGCCTTGGACTCAATGAGTTTTTTTCTCTCTAAACCTTCTCTTGGGAGGGATACTTTCCCTGGAGTTCTGATTTGGTTGTGTTTGTTCATTCAGGTAAATAGAACTGTGAATCAAGATTCACTCACGTGAAGTTTGTGGAAGAAGCTCGAAACTATTTCCTTCTTCTCTTTTCCTCTTAGATTTTAAGGTAAGGAAAGCTAAAACCTAGTTTTTGATGATTGTTGGGTTGTTATGCATGAATTGATTATTGAATGAGTGCAATTATGTCGTTGAAATGCATGAACTTTGAAGTTGGGTTGTTGAATTTAGTGAAGTCATTTTCAAAGAGAAGAATTTGATGATTTGTGGTGATCTTTGGTTGCATGATGAGTTTCTTGTTGAACATGAGTTGTTGGTGGTGTATATATGTTGTTGGTGTTTTGCATGCTTGAGATTTTCTAGTTTTTAGGTGGCTTGAGCAAAATTTATGGTTTGTTAACTGAAGAACTCACTATCATACCAGGCGTGGTTTTACTCACATCAAACGCAAGATTGGTGGTGCTAGACATGAGGAGAGAGAATTGTCTCAAATTGAAATGGTGTCAGACATGGTTTGAATGGCGCTGAGTGTGAGATGAGAAAATTGTTTCTGTTTAGATTGAGGTTGGGCATGAGACTTTGTCACACCAGACATGAGGGTTCAGGGGTCTCTACCTAATTCACACCAAGTGCGAGTTGTATGCCATCTAGTGTGGGCGAGGTAGAAAGCTCCCTCAACGACACTGGGTGCTCCTTGTACTAACTTGTTGTTTTCATAAATAATTGGTGAACATGGATAGGTTAAATGAATTTATTACATGTTGTATGTTGTTAGGTGTGGTTGGGGTCTACATATATTGATCTAAAATAATATATGTAAATGGTTATATGTGGTTCAACTGATGAGGTGCATTTGTGTTGTAAATTGATTAATGTTATTAGATCAATATCCATTGAGTTAGGGTAACACATATAGATGAATATTGTTGAGGTGTGATATTGGAAATGCTATGGACATTTAAGCATGTCGATTGACTTAGGACTAGAGTAGAGGTTGTTTTTAAAAGTTAGATATCCTATTGTGAGGATATTGGTATGATGTTTTATGAACCCATTTGTTAAAAAACCCTCCTTAAGTAGGCATTATCGCTTAGAGTTGATGGTTGAGTCTCCTTTAAAACTTTAGTTAATGTGATATATGAGTTAGGTTGAGGCATACTAGTTATAAATGACTAATGTTGATCTGTATGTGGGTAAAGTCGAGACATACATATATAAAGTGACCAATTGAGTAAAGCACAAGGTAGGAGACTTAGTCCCTAATTGAGTATCGAAGGTGCATAGTATTTGAAGGGTGATCGATAGACTAAATCTATAGGGGACTTAGTGTTACAAGTTAATGCTATGGCAGACTCATATTCAAGTTGTTATACCATAACAATAATACTAGACTTTTTAGTTTAAGTGATAACATATAAGAAACCATGTTGTTAAGAATTGGTATCCCAATTTGGTTGTGGACCTAGTAGGTGTAAAAAAGTCGTGTTGATTTGGTAGGATTAAACCATTTAGACTACTTACCCTATTAGGATATCTTCATAGTGTGACGATGCATTATATGAGGTGTATGCATATGATGTGTTGTGATTCAATATTGTTCATATGCTTGTTGATTATATGGTTGAATGGCACAGTTGTTGGTGTATGGATGATGACATTGTTGTCTACCTTTGTAAGGTATTGGATGTCATGTTGAGGTGTATTGTTGTATTGATATGTTTTAGACGAGGGGGAGCTTTATTGTCGATCTACATGTTGGTATTGTGAGTGGTGTACATGCTTTCACTTTTATAGCTAGAGGTAGGTTAGGGCTTTTGTGAGGCCATACAGGTGGATGGTTTGCTGTTGATTTTTGTCGAGTTACTTTGCTATAACCCATGTATAAATATTGTTTGGTCAACAACTTAAAATTTCTATTTCATAACTATGGATTATTGTACTTATATATTTTGTGTAGTTTTATTTTGCTTAGTTATTTATGCTTATATATATAGATCTAGGTGATGTGATTATATTGATCCTAAGTGTATACGTCTCTTTATTGTTAGTAATCAATTTTATTAAGTGTAGGGATCATGAAGAATCATTACCTTAACAATTTTAAATTTTCAAAATTGATTATGTTACACTTTCTTTATTAATGTTTTAATTCAAAACATTAAATAACACATATACAATTTAATATTTTAAAACAAATTAAAATTTAGTATTTTCTACTAAAATAATAGAATGATTATTTTAAAAGCTAAATATAAAGATTTAGAATTATTATTCGAGTCTATTTTTTAAATATAATAAAGGAATTAATATTTAACATTTATTTTGAAGAAAAAAATACTATTATAAATTATGATAACCTCATGATGGATGTTTTGTTGACTAGAATGATGCCTTCAAGATATTCTAATCCACTTACGAACATTTTATTTAATTTACCTTTTCGTTTCAAATAAGACATATTGCGTTGGATGACTCATAAATTCCCTTTCATTCATTCATATTCCAAACCAACTTGTTCATACTTTTTTTTCTTATTCAAATTTCAGCCTAGTGAAAGAACTATGTGAAACCTCAAATGTTAATCGCAGTGACCAGAAGTAGAAAAGATATAAATCTCTTTATTCCAATTATAACGACCAATAACAACGAAAATGGAAAATTGATGGAAGAAGGGCATGTCAGTTAGCGGAATTAGATTATTGCATTTTCTTCTCTTTTTTTTTTTTTTTTTGGTGAGATTTTCTTCTCTGCCTATCTGCCTACATTTATCTAATAAAATTTGCCTAAATGGTCCCACTTGCCATCATAATTGTGTGTTATTTCCAATAACTTAAACGAATAATTTTTTTTAAAAGATTCCATTTATTTTCTGAAAATAATAGTACTAGAAAATTCTCTACCCATATATATTTAGAATACTAATTATATATAGAGAGAAAAAGAAAGGAAAAATTCACTTATTTCAATAATAAGTCTACTTAAACTTATTTTACTTAATAATTCATATTTTGTATCAAATTTTAATGATTTAACTATTGAATTAAATTTTTTTAATTATAAATTAATTAAATGGAACATCAAATAATTTTTAAATTTTTTAAAACTTCGTAGAATTGATTTATGCATTAAGAATTTTTAATTAAATGATTGAATCATTGAATATAAAATATGAGTTAGTGAGTGAAATAATTTTAAGTAAACTTACTTTTGAAATAAGTAGATCCCTCCTTATATATATATATATATATATTTGATGCTCCCTTCATTTTTATTTTTCTAAAAGGCAGTTGTTCCAAAACAAATCAATTCATAAAAGTACCATAGTGACCATTTTCCTTTCATATGATTCAAAAACTTTTCTAGATACGATACCTAGACTTTTGTCCAATTTTACTATTTATGAATTTAGTAAGTTTGTCAAAATCATTACAAAGGACATGCTTCTATAACTTCTATTTTTCAAGTGGAGTGGTTCTTTCCATTATGTGGGTGGATTAAGTGTAATATTGATGATGTTGATCATGGAGGGGGCCCTAGGGTTGCGACTTGCGGGGTGGGATTTTTTTTTTCTGATAATAGAGGTGCAAATTTGGGTTCACTACTATAAATATTACATATAGTGACATATAAGAAGTGTTATTATCGATATTATATATGTAACTATAAATCTATTTGACATATATCCAACTAATTTTAGTATTAATTTTGAATGAGATTCAACCATATATATTGTGTGTCACTATAACCTATATGTACACTTTTTTTAACAAGTTTTTTTTTTCTTATTCTTTAATGCCTTCCAGTTGGAGCATATATTTCTTGTTCAAGTGATATATATATAGAGAGAGAGAGAGAGAGAGAGAGAGAGAGAAGTATATCTAATGAGAACATATCTTATTATGACACATGAGAGCAATAAATTATAATTTTTTAGATTATAGATAAAAAAAAAATTAATGGTTAAGACTAAATCTCAAATATAAATGTTCTCTTACAAGATTATTATTATTATCACTTGTACAACTATCAACATCATCATCAATCATTGATATCATTACTACCATTGTTGTCGTTACTGTTATCATCATTATTGTCGCTATCATCGTCAACGTTAATAGTAATGATGACAATAATAATAATCATAATGACAATGATGATAATGAGCTACTGTTGTTAGTGTCGTTGTCATTGTTATTGTCATTGTCAATACATATATATATATATATAGAGAGAGAGAGAGAGAGAAGAAATTTATTTACTCTAAAAGTAAGTCTTAGTGACTTATTTCACTTGATAACTCGTGTTAACATCAAATTTTAACAACTCAACCGTTAAATTAAAAGTTATTAGTATATAAATCAAGTCTAGAAATAAAAAAAATGAAAAATTATACAAAACTTTATTTCATTAATAATTCAATTTAACAGATGATCATTAGGGGTGAGCAACGGGTGGATTTGGTCGGGTTTGGTCGGGTTTGGGTGAAAAATGTCCAACCCATTGTAAACCAACTTTGAAAAAATGTGACCCATATCCGACCGACTAAGCTTTTGATTTGAGGCGGTTCGGGTTGAAACGGATTCAGATTTGAGCGGGTGGGTACAATCGGGTTTGAATTTTTTTGTAGACCAAATTATCTTAACAAAGATGAAGCTTAAAACGATAAAAAAAATATTTTAAAAATAGTGTACAAAAATAGAATGAAGGTGACAATAGATGGTGTAAGTAGATTCGTAGATTAAACATTTACAAACTAAAGAAGCAAAAATAAAAGATAACAAAATCCATAGTTGTTACATGCAAAAGAAATCTAAAGTTAGATTACAAAACCCATAAGAAACCACAGCCGCACAAGTTGTACTCAAAATAGAGATAAGAAGATGGAAAAGAAAGACAAAGAAAGAAGCAAAAAAAAAACTCTAAAAATGGACTAGTGTGTTGAGAAGTTGAATGAGGAAGGAGAAGACAAAATAAATATCTAAGTTATGAGAAAAAGAAGAAAAAAGTTACAAATTGATGACTATATTATACTTGAAATAAAGACTTTTAAGTTTGGACCATTGTTGTTTAGTTATACAAAAATAATAAAAATCTAAACTTATCTCATTTTCGGTTGGGTTCGGTTTTTAGCGGGTTTAAAAATTCAAAACCGAACCTGCCCAATATAACCCGTATAAAACTAAAATTTTAACCCGATTTACCCATAAGACCTGCCCGAACCCACTCAAAAGTAATATTTTTTATCGGGTTTTTCGGGTTCGATTTGGGTCTTGGTTTAATGCTCACCCCTAATGATCATAATTTTTTTTATACTTTTCTTAAAGAAAATATTTTATACGTTGATTTAAATCTATATAATGATGCATCATGATCATGTCAATTCTATAAAAGTAAAATATAAGTTTAACTTATTATCTATAAAAAAAATTAGGTCTAGTTTGACTTTTTATAAAAACATAATCTAAACTATTAGTTTATTTAAAAGATTATTTTACACTAACAACTTTAAATAAACTTGAATTTCAATAAGTCAACACATCTAGTTTTAAATACATGCGAAAGTTTTTTTTTAAAATTTGCGTGATAAAATTTTTTTTACTCCATTATTATTAAAATTTATATTTAAAAAATATATAAAAAATTAATGTAAAATGGGTAACTTATACATACTTATATACACCTTTTTTATTGACAAATATTAGTAATTATCCACTTAGATGCATTCACATATACCGAGATGAAAAAGGGTAATCTTATAAAAAATTATAAATATTTCTTATTTTTCATTTGGAATATTTTAAATAATCAACTATTAATATAAAGTAAAATAGTGGATGAAGATGTGATTGCTAGAATTTCTATTTTTTATTTCTTGGTTTCTTAAAAATAATAAATATAAAAGTTATTGATAGTTTGATTGTTTGCATTAAAAATTTAATTATTCAATTATATTATTAATAATATATATATATATATATCAGTTTTTTATTATATTAGATAGATAAATAGATTAATTTATAAGATTTATAAGCTTAAATTTAATTTTTTTAAATAAATAAACTTAAATGAGGGCGAAACTCAAATTGAAATGAAATGAAAGGAGAAAGGAGAAAGGAGTAAGGAGTTGGAAAGGTGAAAGAAAAAGGGTATAAATAGAAGTGGAGCAGTATGCAGAGAGGTTATGGCAAAGGCAAGGCAGGTAAGTAAGTAAGAAGTAAGAAGTAAGAAGTAAGAAGGAAAAGCGATGAAGGTATTGCAAATATAATATAATAAGTAAGAATCAATATTCACTTGGCTTGGCTTCTTTAAACCACCATGGCAAAGGCTGCCCTGCCTCGGACCGATCGTTTTCTGGGAACACTCTACACGCAAGGCTCGGCCGCCGCGGACTCCTCCGAGTTCCGGGAGGAGGAGATGTGGTCCATGACGGAGGCGGAGGTGAATGGGGACTGGGACTGGGAGAGACGGGCGGCGCCGCGGCGGAGGAGCAGGGACCAGGTGGGGGGCCTGTCGCTGGCGTTCGAGGATCCGGGGTGTGGTACGAGGATCGTGCAGCAGCAGTACGCGGTTTCCTCGCCACGTCCACACCAAATGCCTACGTCAGCACCCGTCAACGTGCCCGATTGGAGCAAGATCCTTAGGGTGGACGTGGACTCGCTGCAGGGGATGGTGGACCATGCGTTCGAGCCGGAGGAGACCGAGTCGGAGATGGTTCCGCCGCACCAGTACTTGGCCCGTAGCCGGAACATGGCTTCCAACTCCGTTTTCGAGGGAGTCGGTCGCACCTTGAAGGGCCGCGACATGCGACGGGTTCGCGACGCCGTTTGGAGCCAGACTGGGTTCGATGGTTGACACTTTACTTCTTTTTTTACCTTCAACCATATCAAATCCAATGTAATCCCCTTTTCCCAAGGAATGCAATTGCAATTCACTATTCTCTATTCACTATTCTCTTCTCTCTTTTCGGATACATAATAATACATTTCTATTCTGCTTCTCCTTCTTCTTCTTCTTCTTCTTCTTCCTGCGAATTGCTAAACCCAAAACCAACACAAACAAACCAATCATTATTTATTTATTTTAAATTTGAAGAACAAAAATTTTCATAAAGAGAATCAAACGTGTAATTCAAAAATATAAAATAAATACATTATAATTAATCAAATATCAATTCACTTTTTTTTTTATATATTATTTAATTGTTTAATTTAATATAAAATTTGAATTTTTTCCAATAATTTAATCAGAAAAGTAAATATTAAATTGGTTTTTAATAAAAATTAAATGTTATAATTAAAATAGATTGATCTTCGTTATTTATGTAAAATTATAATTTTAATCATTTTGAAATATTATGTAAGATGATGTACTTAATTTTGTCATTTAAAAATATTTAAATACTCTTTTAGTTAATAAGAAGTTCATTTATTGTCAATAAAATGAAAATAATAATCATTTAAAATTTTGATTAAAATATTTTTTTAATATTTATAATTTTATTTATTTTATCTTTTAAACCTTATAATTTAAAATAAATCATTTTTAGTCTCAGTATTTATATTTTTCAATATTTTTTGGTTATTATAATTTAAAATAGATCTTTCTTATTCCTATATTTGTAAATTTAAATCTTTTAGTTTCTATCATTTATTTTTTTTTATAAAATTGTCTATTTTGTGTTGAAGTGGTAGAGTTCTACTATTTTGTGAGGGTAAAATATAAAATAAGTGAAATTATAGATATTATAAAAATAGTATTTTAACCTAAAAAATATAATACAATATTTTAAATTTTATTTGATAAATAAATGTGACGTCCATTGTAGCACTGTTAAATATTGAGTTGGATGAGAAGCAGACAAACGTGAAGCATGAAGAATGAAATATCGTCTAACTAAAGAAAGTGCCCAATGGAACTTGAGTTGATTGGTTCTTATGCAAATACTGAGAATCACATATATTCTCAAAACTACCACCTTTCTCAAACAAGAACCTAATTTTCTTTTTTTCTTTTTTTAAACAGAGGCCTGAAAAGTCCCAAGACTTGCTAGTATTGGGAAATATATCACTAACTTTTTTATACTTCAATTTTTTACACTCGTGTATATATATATAAAATTGAATTTAGGTCTATTGAATATTTGTTTTTCTTTCATACTTTTTAACGAAGAATACAAGTTTCAATATAAATTTATGATTAATATTATCCCGTCCAACTTTAACAACTATGGTTTTTCATATGAAGAAAACACGTTTCAATATAAATTTATCATTGAAATTAATTTAGTCTGTATCTTGATTATGTTTGGTTTAAAATCAATTTTACTTAATTTTAAAACAAATTGTCCCTTCATGCACCAAAAAAAAAAAAAAAAAAAACACACCAAAGTGTCCCTAGAGGGTGGGAAAATATTTTCCTTTAGGAAAAAATGAATCATATGAGGAGAGGGAGAAAAAAGAGAAACATAATTACCATGCAAAATGTTAGTAGCCCTTCTGTCTTGGAAGTGCAAAGAGTTAAGTTTGAATTTCACATGCACTTAGAGTTTCTAGTAATTTTAGTCAAATGACAAAATTATCTTTTAAATATGCAAAAGTAATATGGGTAAATTTAGTGAAATGTAACATTTGGAAATTCAAATGTAAATGTATATATGCCTATACGGCATACTTTAAAAACTGATTAATAAATAACTATATAAGAAAAAAAGAGTCATAAATTTAACACTTACAAGTTACAAACATATATAGAGATGAAGATGTGATATGGACTGTACATTGCACATTAACTGCACTTTATTTTAAACCCATATTCTGGGCATAAAATCTTAAACCTCTTATAATAATAATCAAAAGAAAAAACTGTAATACCTTGTCAAATCGAGGAACATTAAATGGAAATTACTATATTCCATTACAAAAAAAAAATTGTGAACAAGAACAGAGGGTGAGGGTAGTGAGAGAGAGAGGTGCTTTTAATGGAAAAGTGATGGATGGTGGCACGGGACTGGGACAGGTTAATTAGGGTCCAAGAGTGGGAGTCTTTTGCATGAAAATGACGCAACTCATTACATGTTGGGCTCACAACTCGTGCCTTTGTGACCACTGGTTTTGCCAAAGTTTGATAGATAGATAGATATACATACTTGCTGGCTTTGTTACATAATTAAAAAATCTATACCACGTTCATATTCAGATAACCACTCAAGCCTTTGACCAATGGAACAAAAGATTAGCACGCACTCAATGCCTCTTTCCTTTATAAGGTGCTACAATGCTTTCAGAAAACCCCTTATTATACATCCAAATATTGTATATTATTTTTCCTTTACAAAGTGCTTCCATTAGAGAATCAAAAAAGGGATGTCAGTGCTTTAGTAAGAGGAATCCCCATGTAAACTCAAAGTTTGATGCTCACCTTCATTAAATTTACGTACTTTTTCTACCTATAGCCTGTACTTCAACCAAAATGTTCATGTTAACAACAGTACCACCATTATACAAATCTTAACGCGTAATATATCATATACTATATATCATTCCATTTTTACAATATTTAGTTCAAATTTAACAGTTAAATTGATGAAAATAAAATTACTTTATATAAATTTATTAATAATAAATCACCATTTGCATAAATTACAATTATTATTATTACGGCTTCAATATATGCCTCTATAAGAAAATTCTCATTCCAGTTTAAATTGAACGCCAAACACCCATCTAACGGGACAAACGAAAGGACACATTAATTTATATATATATATATATAT